GCCGTGCTTATTCATATATTTTTTCCTCAGTAGGACAAAGGACAGGGAAATAAATTATCTCCCTCTGAAAAAATGAGGCATTCTGAACTCCCTCCTATGCAGGACAACGGTGTTACGTTGTCACATCTTCAGTGGTAATATGCAGGAGTCTCCACCTTCTTTACCCAAGAGAAAAGAGGAGCAGGCAGTGCAGTAAACAGAAATCATTCTTTTAACCTTAATCTGAAAACTCTTCTATCACAGAACATTTAGCAGATATGCACTCACCTGTGGGCTTTATTTCAGGTGTTTCTACCTAAACACGTGGCCTCTAATGAAGCAGCAGCTACGTCTCAGATTACAGGCAGGTGTGACAGGTGAAGTTAATCATGCAGCTTTGAGCCATTCTCCCTGTACCCACTAAACCACCTCCTTTGAGACTTGTTCTAACAGTCCAAAGCGGGAATAGGTACGGCCAGAAGAAACGGTTACAACTGTGAAACTTGGACGAGATTTTTTAACTTGAAAAGAGCCAGGAACATACATATGTGTGAACTTCTGCCCCTTTCCCAACAAACACTAATGAACAGCTTCCAGCTATTGGCATTGAAAATAATCAGTCTGTCAAGGAAATGTTTCTTTCCCTAAATAAGGAAGGCTTCTCTCAAGCTCTCTCTCAAATTTATATGTGTTTGATGGTAGCGCTTTGTCCTGCATTAGTGACACGTTTATGGGCTGCTACCTTGAGGCCTGGAAACAAAAATGTAACGTCTTTCCAATAGAGAAAGCTTTCTTTCCACTGTGACACGTCTTATTAAATTCTGACCCTGGAAGGTTCCTATGTATCAGACATCAGTTCTAACATTTTAAATTACAGAAAACCAACTTAAAATTCCCTCTGAAGGAGCATACTGATTTTCCATTCTAAGTGTGATGGTGGTACTTGTAGCATGAGGACACCACACCTGGATTCACAGAAAGAAGGATGTGAAAAGACACAACATGGTAAAAAGTCATCATTGTGCAAGGGAAATGACACAATAGAGTGGAGACCATCAGAAAACCAATCAGACCATGGAAGGTAAAGAGCTTACCAGGGCTACTTGTAGAGGTTCTTAACTCTGCTTCTAACCTAAGATATGTCCTCGGGCATGTCTCTTCACCTTTCTGTGATTCCATTCCCCATCTGTAAAGTGAAGATAACAACATGTATCTTTATGAGTGCTTCAGATGACAAATGCAATGTAACTCCTTAGGGCCAACTTGCTGAATGCAGTAGGAGGTAAATAACACAGGCCATTCGTTGTCCTCCTAGTTAAAAATAGCATGTCCATTTGTTACACCCTTTCTGTCAGGTCATGTCTGCACCTCTACAGTAGCTAGTTAAAGCACACTTTCCTTGTAAGAAAGATGTGAAAGCATCAGCCTTTCATCTGTACCAAGTATGCATAGCACTATTCAAAACAAATCATTACTTGCAGCAGCAGTGGAAGAATAAAGATGTTTCAACAATTGCTGTTGTAGGAGAGAGAGCATTTACTTTAGCAGTTGACAACACACCAGAATGCAGAGCAAGCAAAATGCCTACCGCGACTTCTCACTCAGGGCCTGTGTCAGGATTCTTTATGGCAGGGAAAAAAAGGGAAGATTCTCTCAGACAACTGTTAAATTTTATCTTAGTCTGTAGTTGCATGATAGTCCAGGGACTTAAAAGTTAATTGTCTACAGTAGTTACAGAGAATTTTAGTGACTTACAGTTCTCCCATTAGATCGGAGTCCTCAGAAATAAGTGAGTGATAATATATTGATGCAATTGCTCTTCTAGTATGCATGTACACTTTTATTTGCTTGAGAACAGGAGTTTGTGCTGGGAACAATTATCGCACTACACAACTTCCAGTGATTTAAGGAAGACTTCGTTTATTTTAAAATTAACTTCTAAACTATTCACTTTTTTAATCGTAACAAATCTGGAATGTCGTTCTTGACTAACAGCTGAGCACTTGGCTCAGGATGCAGGTCATTACTTCCTCATTCTTTAACATGAAGGCAAACTGGCAGCCTACTTGGGATTTCTTGGGATTCTTTTAAAGATATCCAGAAAATCCTTGATAAACCATTCTAGATCATGTCAGATTTCTCTTAAACTCCAGTCATAGCTCCTGTCAGAGCTTGTTTTTCTAAAGGTAAGCATGAAAAGCTCTGATCAAATGCCCAGATTGTTGTTTTATTTACATACTACAATGAGTAAAAAACCCAAGCCCATAGTCAAGATTCTTGTGCACCCTGAAAACCCATTTACAAATTTTTACTTTACTTTTCTTGGACTGCAATTTCAGCCATTTTGTGATGAGATGGAAACATCCTTTTTGCCAAACATGGCCAAATTGCATTTTTAGCTCCTGCAGCGCTCTCACATCTCTAGCTCCACTGAAATTATAATGTTAGTCGGGATTTCCATTGTTGTGACAGCAAGCAGATCCTGTCTGCCAGCATACAGACAGGCTCAATAGACTGAAATCTTAATGCAAAATGGGATAAGAATAGAAGTCAATAGTGCCTGAATTAATGTTCCGGCAGAATACCCTTGGGTAATGCTCAGGGTATGGAAAGAGAGATACTTAGAGAGGTAGGAGAATAATGAAAATTTAAAAGGGAGGACATACTGAGGGGAATTTTCTCATGCTTTTTATCTTAAATAAACTTTTATGTGGTTTGTCCCAAGTGCAGGATGGCTTGCTGAAAGTTGTAATATCTTCATCTCATACCCTCATGATAACTTTGGTAAAAGAAAAGATCCTACATGTGAGCTGACAAAGTCAAGTATCTAAGTAATTGGAAATGAACTGTTTAAATGAGCAAAAGAGTTGCAGTTTGGAGCAGGAATGGAGCCATACTCTCAGGAACACAATGACGATTTGTACCCTTTTAAAATGCTAGAAAATCAAGAAGTGCAGATGACCCAAGAGATACTTTGGGGGGAAAAAAAAAAGGCAAACCTGAAATCACTATTGAAAAAAAAGAGGCTCTGAAAAGGGCAATACTGGTACGTCTATTCATAAAGAGCAATGATACATCACAGCTGGGCCTCCAGAGTCACAGTGGATAATTGCTCAGTGGCTCCTTTTCCCTCTCCTTTATTCCACCAGTCCAGTCCCTGTTTTCAATCAGTGCCTTGGTCTGTCCTCACGATGGGAGAGGCACATGAGGAGTAATAAGGAAGGGAAGGGAATAAACAGGTCCTTGCCCAGGGAGTGCACACTGTTCCTCAGGGTGTTTTTCAGTGGTATGCTTAGGGCAGAATCTCTTCCTTCACAACTGTTTCCATAATCAGGTTTCCATGTGAATGGTGCCCCTTTGCCAACACATGCCAGTGAAATGAATGGCAGTAGCTCTGTCTCTGCCATTTAATCTGCTAATTCTGTGAGGAGGGTGAAATGTACTCCTTGTGCATTTCTAGTCCATATCCCAAACACAGGAAGGCTCTGACAGCCAGAATGCAGACCGTGTAAGCTGAGTTACCCGAGCCAGAAGATGTGACAACACTGGGTTTTCATATCTGACACAGGACACTTCAGCAAAAAGATACTGAAATTTTGTAACTTTGTTGAGGGATTCTCACTTCAAGTTAAGCTTGAGACTATCTCATTGATAACTGCAGGTACACTCATGTAACTCAAAAAATGTGTTAAAACTTTCTATAGAAGCCACAAGAGTAGGCTAAGAAAGAGAGAATCTGATTTTTTTTATTTTTTAAGTATAAGGAAATTCCAAAACTTTCAGTACTGCAGGCAACTTACACAAATTACAAAACAAAAGAATATTGTTAAAATTCCTAGACTGCTAATGGATATACCAGCTAAAGATGCCTTTAAATTGTTTTTGTAATTTCTGACAAAACGTGGCCTAAAGGCCTCAGATACTAAGGGAAATGAAAGAACAGTACATAGCTCTTCATCCCTTTTTATAATAGCCCAGTTTTCTTGAAAGTCTTCCTGTTATACACCTTCCCTTTTCTCTCAAATAAATCCCAGATAATGATAGGCATTGACACTATTAAATATTTCTATTTTGGTGGACCAAAATAAATAGTTAATAACCAGAGCTCCTCACAGTTATAAATTACATCAACTGGCTCTCACAACCCTGCTCTTGCAAGGGAAGAGGTGACACTGAGCTTGCAAGGAAAAGAAGAGTGAGCATTTACCCAGTAAGCTGAAGAGAAGAACTTTACATAGAAAGACCTCTATGAAAGCACTGACTGAGAAGTGTGTTTGCTGCATGCTGCCCCTACTTAGACGTTAATTGGATTACAGTTGCACTCATTCATAACATTTTTCAAAATGTGAAGGTAACCAGATCACTGTTTCTTGCAGTATTTGCTGTGCACTCAGACAGCAAACAGATGCAGAAAAATGAATGTGAACAAACTCCTGCCAAAATACGTCAGCGTTCCCAGGGGCTGGGAAGGCAGAAGCAAGCCAGCAGGCCAAGAGAGGAAGATTTCTGCTCCTAGGAGTGAGGAAAGATGGAGCTTCCTGAGCACACAACTTCCTGAGGGGTCAGTTCTGGCCACTGGTGTTTGTGTCCACCATGGTGATGCAACCAGATGGAAACAGCCTGTATGTCCTCTTGGTAAAGAAAGAGCACTGTGTCTCCAGGGAAGTTCATTCCCCCCTGACAGGGGCAGCCTTGCAGAGCCACAAACACAAAGCACGTCTCGCAACACAGGGCCGATAGTCCCTATTTTGAAAGGCAGACTTCCATCACCTTTCAAGCATTACTGAGCTCTGCAGAGGCAACTTCCAAAGACTAAAATCATCAAACAAATTAACTTCCTGTTCAAGCATTGCCACTGCAGTGGTTTCACTTGGCAGTGTGTCATGTGCTGCAGAGGGAGGAGGAGAGAAGTTGTGTGAGCAACTGGGGTGCTGGCCCCACAGGGAAGGCAGGCTGGTGGCGTGGGGCCCTGGGAGACGTGGCAGTGCCTGCAGGGGCTGGGGACGAGGCGTCGGGCCCACCATTAGCACCATGCTCCTGGGGATCCTCGTGGTGCTCTGCTTCATCCCCACTGCTGATGTAACAGGTAACAACCCCCCTCCACATTTCAATTATTTCCACTATTTTTCTTCGCTTTGATCATCAAGGGGTAGAAGGTCTAGTATAGCTTTGAATTAATTTTGCACAAATTGTTCAGTGTTTGGATGAAAGGGGAGAGGCAGCAATGCTGCTAGGACTGCACATGGATCAACTCCATATAACCAAGAGACCCGTTCTTCTCTCACCACGAGTATCTTGGGTCTCTGAGATAAGACCCAAGAGCTTTCTTTTAATTTGACTTCTCTTTCGATCCACTTGGAAATTGCATGTCTGGGTAGAGGGGGGGTAATTTCACCTCTGGGCTTAACAAGTTTTTCTCGGAATTGCCTTCTCTTGGGGGGCAGCGGGTCTGAGCAGACCTGGTGTCAGTGCCTCTCTTGGGGCAGCCTCTCCATCACCTCTAAGTCTCCTATGTGAAGCTTCAGGTCCCCTCATGGCCTGGCTGGGTGTGATGGGCTCAGAGCTGAGCCCACTGACATCCTCACAGGACTAGCAAATGAAAGGGTCAAACGCAGAGTTGCTCACTGAGCTCAAAGATGGGAGGATGGAATTGCCAAGTTTCTGAATTTTGCATTGGAAAGTGTTTTATTGATACTTACTAGATATCTAGTTTCTTTCTGAAGATCTTCAGAAAAAAAAAAACAGTCTATTTGTGATTTTGAAATCCTGAGTCCTAGTTAATCTTTCTTACTCTTCAGTTGTTGTGGCTGAGGGTATTTATCTCTGTGTTGTCTTGCTGATACACACTGTTTGTATGTTCAGAGCTAACATGTCTCTCCAACAAGTACATTAAAATGCAAAGTAAGGCAAGGGATGCTGGCTTTTGCTAGGATAATTCTGAGACAGACAATTTTTCAAACCACTGACTGAGAACTGTTGTCATTGAGTCTTCTCCAAATATCAGTGTTTTGTATTTTACAGGGAAGCAACAGATAGATAGGAATAAAAATCTGTTTTCCAGTAAAAAACTTTTAACATATAGAACATCTTTAAAAAGCTCTTTTATCTGGTATGAGAGGTACAGTTGAATCTACTTTTCCCTTGTTTCGGCCTTATTTTTTCCATTGTTCTTTTCCTCAGTGAAGGCATTATAATTTGCATGACACCACGATCTACATTTCTTTCAGAGATCATAGTTCTTTCTTGTCCTTTCCCATGTTCATAATTCTGTGTTTGCAATATCATAATTATTTCCACAGCAGGCCCCTGGGTTGTCAGAGAAGACACTAATTCCAGGAGGGAAGTATCAGCAGCGGGTTAACAGATGTGAACAGCTTTTATGCAACTCTTTTGAACTGCAGCAAAACAGGGGCTATGCCATGACACTGTAGACATTTATACACTTGCTCTGCATGAAGAACTTGAGTTTCTCCAACAGCCTCACCAAGGCTGTTCAGCTTCTTAAAGGGAAGCACATGAGGTCATTCGCTTCTCAGGGCTCCCTTCTTTTGTCCCATCTATTTTCTCCACCTCTTCTCTTCATTTTCATCAAGATGAGTGATCCTTAGGACTTGGAAAACATTAAGGCAGGTCAAAACCCTGCAGGACTTCCAGCAGCCACAAAGTGTATTACAGGCCTAAGGTATTTTGGTTTGAGGAAAACAGCAGAATTTGTTGTGTTCTGCTGTTGTGAGACTGTTCCAGCTGCAGGTTGAGTTTGAATCATAGAAAGGGGCTTAGAATATTAGTTTAGTCCGTTTTCTTTTGCAGAAACACTGATGTTTACTAAGTTTGTCCTCCTCCTTTTTGTTGGCTAAATAATTACCTTGCTGTGTTCTGTCACAGAGGCAGTTAGATCAAGTGTCTGGTATTTTATGAAATATGTAATATAAGCAGATTCCCACTGCAGTGTGCCACAACTGACCTCATCTCCTTACTACCCACACAACCTTCTGGCTTATGGTCTCTGGGGGTTAAAATCAACCTCTAACCCACTGGTTACCAGAATGCAGAAGATGGGTGAGACGAGGTTAGCTGAGATTAGGATGACACCAACAAGTTCTTGTTTAAAAAAAAAAAATAAATCACCAACTGCCAAAAAACCCCCTGTGCTCACACTGGGTTTGATTAAAGCAAGAGTGCCAGCTGGGCTTTATGGAGTACTATGCTGCCTGCTGTACCCATAGCAGCAAGGTAGGAAAGCTGAGCAGAAAGCGAGTCTGTAATGGCCAGAAGGGGCAGATCCCTCCGGCTGCACATTGGACACACAGTTGGGTGGCCTCAAACCAAGGTAAAGGAGAAAGACCCTTGTACCCAGGAAAGAACAGTAAATGTAATTGTACAACAGACCCTCAGCAGCAAAACTGGAATAGCTTTGTTTCTCACATTCTGTTTGTGGGTTAAACAAACTCATTTCAGGTTTTCCCCTATCCCTCTGTGGGAATTAAGTGGACCATTTCTTTCCTTATAGAAATCTCAACTTACCTCAGATTCCTTGCACTGGAAAATAGCTCCTTGAAGTCAACTGGCATGAAAAAGAAAGAAAGGAGAGAACTAAATACTTTTAGTAGAATATTTTTTCCCAATAGCTGATGATGATTCATGGAAAGTTCTGGGGAAGAAAAAAAAATCAAAACACCTCAAAATAGTTACTTTCCATACTTTGTTGACTCTATTTCACTTTCTTGGCAAAAAGAAAGAAAAAAAAACCTTCATTGAAGTTTGGTTTACATCAGGGGTCCGTAATCAGATAGTTAGTATTTTACAGATATTATATATGGATGGCATTTTCTTTCATTATGCAAAACCCCCTCCCATGTGATTATAAGAAATGTCCAGTGTGACAAGTTATCAAAAAGCTTAACAAACATTAACAGATCTTTCACACCATTGCATATAAATCCTAAGATCCTGAAAAGGCTTGCAGCCTGTGCACATTGACTTCAATGATTTTACATATTTAAACTTCATGGCTTTTTGAAACTGTAAACAACAATTTTTCATAACTGCCACTTTCCTGGCTGGGTAAGGCCAAGATACAGATATTTATTGCTATACGACTGAACACAGCTCTAGAAGTGGTAATCATAATCCTATTTAGGGGAATGAAAACACCTACTAAATGTTTCAGAATTTCACCAATGTAACAAACCCAAAGTGACACTTATAAGAAAAACTGGCTCTGTGAGGGCAAAAGCTGTCTTAGCCCATGTTTTCTCAGAATGGTCCCAATCCTACTACGAATGTAGTCAAATCCTATTCAGATCACAAGTGAAGTGAGGGATGTTTGGCGTTACTCTGGTTTCCCCATGAAACTAATACACATTGCAGCATGATTGACTGTCTTCAATCCAAAAAAAATCCCAGGTGAGAGGAAGATGATGACAGCAGGGCTTGCCTAACACACTGATGGGGTAAGCTTGCTTTGCCCTTGTTGGCATTAAAACCCAACCGATTCATGTGGTGCTAATTAGTTCCTATAAATGAAACCAAAAATATCTCTCTCAACTTAGATTTGAGCTAGTAGAGGCTGGTTGCTGGTTTAGCTTAAATCGTGTAGGAGAATTCTTCGTTAATGATCCACCAATGACTTTTTCCCACTGCTCAGCCAGCCTGCATCCCAGCATCAGCAGCATGGGGCTGGGTTATCACACCCAGCCTGCAGGCCAAAGCAAACAGACCAGACTATAAATACAAGAGGTGGAAATAAGTCAAAGGAACTTCTCCTCTTAGGCTGGTGTATCAAAAGAGACTGGTTGCCAATTAGCACAAAATCATGGCAGAGACATAAATAGTCCAAAGCTGTAGTTAAATAGTAGAGCTCAAAGCATGAAGTGAGGTCCTAAACGTCAGGAATCCAGATGAGCTGACAACAGCAAAAGGTGGGGGGTAAGTCACAGGGGTCTGTAGATGAATCTAATAACATTTGAGTGTAGTCCCTCAGTGATAAGATTTTCAGTGTTCTTTGACTTTCCTCTGGCCATACTGAAAATCCAATCAGGCTGAGCAATAAATATCCATTTGTTTTCTGTAAGTATGTGCAGTGAAAACAGGTGAGCACTTTTCTGAAGTGTAATGCTTCTGCAGGTGTCTGTTCTGGGACGCCTATTTTGGTTGTCCACTCTGAGAAAAGGTCTCTTCTGAAGGCGTATTCAGTCCCTGTGACAATCAGGGTTGTAGTGGTGGGCAACTACTACAGCACAAATCAGAAAAACAACTCTGTCCCAAGTGAGATATGTAGAATTATGCTGTGCTAAAGGTCAAGCAATTCTACCACAGACTCGCAAATTGCCACTTAGGCCAAAAGTCAATTTTCTGGCCAACAAAAATATGATCAAATAGCTTGTCTAAAGAGGTGGAACCCAAACCTCACCCCTCACAGAATGCCTTATAAGCCTACGTGAGAGCTTTTGTCGGAAAATGCTGATTCGGTGAAACTGAAATGTTTTGCTGAAATGTCTTCATTTCGATGAAAATTCACCACAGGCACCGCCTCGCTTAAAAACTTGACTTGTCCTTTCTTTGCCACTCAGTTCCACGATTCCAAGATCCATATCTCTTTCTGCTGGAAAGCCTGGAAATGCTCATCCTTCATCCAAAGTTTCACAGTGTTTGGGTTCCCTGCAAACATGGGATTTCAGAGCTGTGAGGAGCTGTCCTCCACTCCCCATGCTAATGATGTGGAACAAAGAGACACGAGGAGGATGGACTACAATCTTTCTTTGGGAAAGCTGAGGCAGCAGAGCACTACCTGTCTCACATCTTCCTGCTCTCATTAGAAGCAAGGCTAGTAAATGAGACTTTCAATGAGAGAATGAACAACTTCAGCAGTTTCATGGGTTGTGCTGGTAACTGGAGAACCTGCTTGCTAGCCATGGGTTGTTTTTACTGCCCACACTCTATCACTAGTCCTGGCCACCTCACAAATCTTTGTGTTTACTTTACTCCCTGGACCACATTCCTCCCAGAGTAGTATCCCGCTCAAAAGGCCGGGGTACTCCATATTCTTGTGCAGGCATGAACACAATAAAGGAAGTCTTTTGGTCCTCAACATCGTTAAACATGGTGAAATACTAATTTTCTGGGCATTCTGGATCTGGCCTCCTTCCTACTTCATGTCCATTACTGGCCTTTTCCAAGTCTCACCACACAGATTAAGTAGAAAGAATACAGGTTTGCAGCATGTGTTGAGGGCAAGAGGCACAACTGTCATTCTTGCAGCCACAGCAATTCTCAGAGATCTACAAAAGACTATCCAGACCTCTTACGAGCTGAGCTTGCATGACGATTTACACACTCGTACACACACACAAAAGCTCTGGAAAGTTCCTAGCTTAAAAGCCAAAACTCCTCTCCTATTTCTTAGGGGTCATATTTTTGAAAAGCAGGGCCTCATTTGTACGGGATGACTTTTCTTGGAAGAAGTTTTCTTCCTGCATAGTCCTTGTAGTGCTTCATTTTTTGGCAGCTGGTAGCACAGAGGTCTACATGTCAGAAAACATTTCCTGTTTATGTATCAGTCTGGTCAATTCAAATTGAATTATACTTTCATGTGACATGTTTTTTTGCAGGCCATTCAAGTGCTAAGTGCCAATGCAGTGTCAAATTAGTCAGCTCCTGAGTCCTTAGAGAAATTAAGAATCTACTACAGCTGCCAGCAAGAGAAATTACTTATTTTACATTAAAATGATAGCAGTTCATTCTTTTAGTGTTCATCGTCCAAGGTCCAAGCCCTTGAAATGGTTCTGCAAATTCACCTGCAAACTCTTCAGGAGTCCTTGAATTAAAAAGCAAATGTATAAACAATCTCTTATCTGACTGCTAAACTAAGCATTCAGTTCATAGTATTTTCACTCCATAATCTACCCTGGTAAACTGCTTGCCACGTAAAGCATAGACTTAGATGGCCTTATATATACACACATGCACGCAGAGGCAGACCAGCCTTCTGAGCCCTGATGTTAAATCTCAATCACATGGGCCACTGTCGGTGCTAGCGTTCTGACTTTTCTGAAGAAAAACACTCTTGACCGCACAGTCTCCCCTGGTGACTATGTAATTATTTGTGTAGAGGTGGATCGCTGCAACAACAGCTCCTGTGAGAAACTGCTTCTGCAGATCGGTGGTTACGCACTCCCCTGTAGGGAGTGTCAGCAGGGGAGAGGAGGTATGGAGAAGAGTAGCACAGGAGGATGTGTGGTTCTGAAGTCTCATGCTGTACTTTATAAACAGGTGCTTTTCTCACTTTTCTCTCCTCCCTTCCAGAAAACAAGATTTTAGTGGCTCAGAGTCCTTTGCTCAAGGTTGATAACAAGAGTGCATCTCTAATTTGCAACTACACGTACAATGGAACAGGGGAGGAATTTCGAGCTTCACTGCACAAAGGAACGGACAGTGCAATTGAAGTTTGCTTTATTTCATGGATTAAAAAAGTAGCAAATAAAACTAGCGGTACTTCAACTAAAGAATTCAACTGCCAGGGGGCTCATGATAAAGACAAAGTCATCTTCCATCTTCGGAACATGAGTGCCAGCCAAACTGACATCTACTTCTGCAAAATTGAGGTCATGTATCCCCCCCCATATGTCTACAATGAGAAGAGCAATGGGACCGTCATTCATGTGCAAGGTAAGCTGGGAAATCTCTGCAGGCCAGTATCCTCCCAAGACACACTCCCTACATAATGGCTTGGAGCAGTTTGTTTCCTTAAAAAAAACCTATGTTTGGATTGCCTAGTAAAATTACATTCCTGCTCCTGATGTCCTGAAGAAGACATCTTAAAATGATAATTAATAAAAATGACACATTGGAACAAGCAGTAAATAAGCAGAGATTGATGTTTTTGTTTTCGTGGACCTAAAGTTTCCTTTGCTCTTTCCTTAAAGAGACACCCATCCAAATAAAAGAGCCTCTGCCTGCAATTCCTTTGTGGATTATGCCAACAGTGACTGGAGTTCTTGCTTTCTACAGCATGCTAATAACTGCAGTTTTTATTAACTACTGGGTAAGAAACTGTTCTCCTTTGCTCTATATGCTCTTTGTCTCAGGCTATACTTGCCATGTTTACCCCTAAGTCACTGATAGCCCTTCAGTTCAGGACAGCAGTGTTTCTTCACCCCAGCTATGTATACACACCCCACACCCACGCTACAACAGGTACCCCCAAAGAGCTGAAACACCAGATGCTCTCCAGGTGGGCCAGTCAGGCCTCTGCCACTGACTCCTAAAGCAAACAGTAATGCCACAGTGTTGGCAGTGCCCTGCACCCCAGAAATACTGGGACATTGTCGCTACCCTCTGCCAGTTGTCCCTGTCAGGGAAATGTAGAACTACAAGCATTTCTGGCAAAACCCTTTGAGACTGTACTGACAGGAGCTCACCCACAATAAAACAGCCCTCAGCTGGCCCAAGACCATCTGCACTGGTGTCTTGTGCCTATCCAGAAATTCCCTTGAGTAACCAGTATTTCTGGCAGCTTGAGCATAAGGGAATAGGAGCACCTGGATCTCAGTACCCTTTCTATCCATTAACGCTAAGAAAGCTGAGACAGCCTTATGGCTCACTATTTTTGCTTTCTAATCTCTCTGGAGAGTTGGCTGGCCCAAGTCACATCCAGTTCTGTCTGCTGGAGGAAAGAGGGAGTGAGGCATGGTGCAGAGGCAGCAGCAGGACATCTTCCTTGACAAGCCTTAGGATTGTGATCTCCAGAGCTAATGGAGTACTCCATGTGAGAAAGACTTGAATGTAGAGAACTCTATTCCTTGCACTCTGACTTTCCCCTCTTTGTTGTTAAATAATTTTCAAACATTATAAGGTAGCCTGTATAAAGGGTTCAGAATCCCTCACGGGTTAAAAGTTGCAAGTATGCAGAAAGCTACTGCCACTGCTAGGTGAAGCTTGAGATCTCTTAAGAGTTTCATAAAAATACACATTCTCAACCTAAGGCCATTTCTAATGGAAAACAATCAAAGGCAGGTTAAGTGATCCTTCTTTGTGCCCTATTGTAGGAGCTGATTCCAAGGAGAGCTGAGAGCATTAGAGCGAACAGCTGCTGGTGTTACAGTGCTGTGCTACTGAGGCTGTGCCTTATGAGATAGTATAGCTTCAAATCCATCATTTACCATCTGAAACATTTTCTCTGTATTCATTTGGTACCTAATGGCTACACGCTTTGCTACTAATATGTCTGTCCCCGGCAAGAGTGACAAGGCTGCATTGCCATGTGTGTTGTTTGCTGCATCAGTTTTTACCTGCTGTTATTACTGCTGGTCGTATTCTGTGGATAATATGTACTCTGACTGTAGATATATTTAGTGTTGCTGAATGTTAACACAGCTGCCTAGAAGATGTTATGAATTGTGAAAAAAAAAGGTTCTAAATGTCATAATCGACAGACACGTTAAGCCTGATACATGAGCTCCTGAAAGCAGCTAAAGATTTGTCTGTTTTCATACAGTTCTGCCTTCCCTGAAGGAAAACCATTTTCTCCAAAAGTAGTAGTCTCTGGTCCTGTAACAGGCCAATGTTCACTTGTGCTAGCAAAATGCCTTTCTCCAGTGCAAAGTTACCTCTTAGGTGAGGTAATGTGTATTATGGAGATGAACACACACAGATAAAGCTTTTCTATCTAATGCTTTACATGCACTGGCTGCATTACACGGCTTAAGCAGTATGTCACTTAAATTCAATTCTTTGCATATAGATAACCTTAATATAAAAAGCTTACCATATTTCATAGAAACTGCCCCACTCTGCAACTACAACATAACTCAGCCATCAGATTTTCTAATGCAAACCTCCTCCAGTTCCACAGTATCACATGTATACTGCAGCATATGCAACTATTTCTGTACATGGGAAGGAAATTTCAGTAACAAGGGGATTGCAAAAGAAGGTATGATCAGTATTAAGGAAAAAGCATGGAAGCACTTTATCTACCCCTGATCAATAAAGCCATAAGCTTTCTAAAAAACACCGCATTGTGCACAGCCTGCAGCAGTCAGAGGCTGAAATGCTGCTGTAGCCACAAACATCCTCTGTGATTTTAAGCAAATTATTTCACCTGTCTTCTGCTACTCTTATTTCTAAAAGAGCTGATGCTTCCCTTGTACCACAAGGGCATTATAAGCAGGAATTCAATGGTGGAAATGAGATTTTTGAGGCCCAGACAGGGAGACATAAATGATTGACATCAGCTCTGATTCTTTTGCCCTTTGAAGGAAGTTTCAGAACAACATATGCATTGTGTGTTACTGCTGTAAATGGCAGGCAAACTATGGTACACATAGTCTGGGCTGATTTTTCCTACTCTTATTCTGTTTGAGTTAAGCTAATTTCATTTTTCCTTCTAATAAATGAGGACAGCCTTCACAGCTCAGACTGTATTATTTCTGCTGAATCATTCCACAGATGAGAAGTGATGGCTAGAGGCATCAGTTTGTATCCTTGGTTTGTAGCATTCCTTTACCTGGAGAACTACACTGTAAATCCCTCAGCAGATAAGATGGAGACTTACATTCAGGTTGGGCAAATTCCATAGATTCTTTTATGAGAACATGTATTCTAATTCTTTTGTAAATATATTTAAACCTGAAGCTGCCTTATAAATATGCCTGCTTCCCTGAACGAGGGCCTAGGGCCAGAACCGTCAGCAGTTAAAATGAGATTTTCACAATTCTCTTCACCCTTCTCCCACAGCAAAAATCCAAAAAGATTATGTACCACCAGAGCGACTACATGAACATGACTCCCCGGCACCCACCATACCAGAAGAACAAGGGCTACCCACCCTATGCCCCAACACGAGACTACACCGCCTATCGGTACTGGCAGCCGTAGGACCCACCAGCTGACCCACAGCAGCCTTATATGCTTCTAGGCAGCCACCTGCTCTTGGACATGGAGGACAGCCTCTCCTTTTCTCATTATGTTTGTTGCTATTGATCATGGACACCTACACCATAGCAAATATTGGCTAAACTTTGATATACTAAAAGAAAGAAACAAACAACAAACAAACACAAAAAGGGGGATGGGGGGAAGCAAAAAAAGAATTGTTGTCCATGATGGCTGAAAATGAGGCCCAACCCCAACTGAGGGTTGTCAATGGGTAAGATGATGGCATCAGACCTCAGAGCTGGTCTCTTCCTAACACTTGTGGTCTTGCTCAGCTGTTGGGAGAAGCAGAACTTCTGTTCTTTTCCAATAATTGCTGCCTTAGATGTAACCCTTAATCTCCTTTCCTGTATGGCTAATCCTCAGAAACCCTTGTTGCTGTTAAACCTGGCAAAATGTAAAAAAAAAAATTATTTTCTTCTCTACAAGACCAGAACACAACTTGAAGTTCAAAACACATGCTTGAAACAAAGAGAGAAAGGTCAGTCAGAAGGTATCCAAGCTATTAGGCTATGGCACAAATGATCCACCAGGACAAATCAAGCTGATGCAAAACTAGTAAACCTTCAACATGTGAGTCCTTAGGCTGGACACTTCATAAACATTCATAAGGCCATCTGCAGTCACGACCAAGCAACTTCACAGAGTGAGAAAGCAATCAACCTGAACACAAAATCAAGACAAGCAGGAGAGGAAGAAAGATCTGTCTTTGGCATGAAGAACCCCATTTCTGGTTTGTTTGGCTACAGCAAAAGAACATGAAGTCATACATGAAGCATTATAAGACACAGAAGTCAGATTTTGAGAAGACTTTTACTTTCATTTTTGAAGTTTTGTTTCTATCCAAAAGGTGTTCTGCTGAGTGCTCCTGAAAATTTATGCACATCTTCTGGCACCTAGGTTATACCAGAGCTCTCTCAAAAATCTGGGTCCACTTTTGGGAAACTAAAGATCACTTGAATTTTTTTTCCCATAAGTACCCAATTTTTGGGATGTGAGAGGGTTCTTCATTCCCAGTATTGTGAATTGGACCTGTAAGTGCTCAGGGTCTGCTCTGTGCACTTTGTGTTATCTGGAGGTTACATTTCTATCTAAAGATGTTCTTCAGGACTGCTACATGCTGGAGTAGGAAAATGTCTTCAGCAAAACCTGATAAATTCTTTCAATTTAGCGTGTTTACAATAACGGGACATCCTAAATTGTAATTAGGATTGTCTTGGCATAAAATCCTTTTTCATACTGAGGAGACGAGGTTTATTTTATAGAGACTACTGAATAAACAATTAAAAAAATCCATATTCCCACATTGAAGTAAAATTGGGATTGTACAACATTTAATTTCCTCCAAATTGGGAGAAGATTCTTTCTCTCTTTGAGGGGACAGAATAAAAGTAGAGATATGGAAGTATGGCAACAATCTGCTTTGATGTCTTAATCCAAGGAAAAAACTTCGGCTCTTCCAAACTGGAAGTTTTATTTGAGTTTGCTGACTGGGCCCCAAACCTTTCACTCTGAGTCATATCACCATGACCCATGTTCCTGGAGGGTGCTGTGCCACCTCTGAGCAGTGGTGAGGTGCCTGCTGTCCCCCCAGGCAGGGACAGCTGGGGCCCCAGTTCCAGGTGCAGACCCCCCAATGGCAATGTTAAGGGAGGCCCCAGAGATCCAAGAGGGAGTGCTGTGAGCTTGGCATGGGAGTGCAGTCATGGACCCAGCAGGCCTTGAGAGTCTTGCTCTGGCTCAGTTCAGCAAACCCAAAAGATTATGATTGGGCTGAAGAAATTAAAAACAAAGTATTATTTATTTCTCCTCCTTTCCCCTTATCACATGCACAAACACCCAAAGGCTGACATTTTTCCACGTACAGTTTTTACTCTCCTCCTGAAAAGCCCCTCACTGCACCTTTGTACTGCAGCTGAGGCAGCAAGGAACTCGTGTGGGGGGCAGAGGGGAGGGAGCCAAGTGGACACATGGCAGTCCCTGAATGGTCCCAGCCTGGTCCTCCTTGCTGGCACTGACTGGGGGGACACCAACGCCTTGTCACCTCCCTCCTCACTTGGAGGGAGATATGAAGGATCCTGTGCCAGCATCCAGCCACTCCCGCTGGAGAGCAGCAGGCTGAGCACAGTCCCTGCCAGGGTTTGGCACTATCTTGCCATGCCCCAGTGTTGTCATTGTGTGACACGACATTAACAAGCGCTCCAGTTACAATGTGCTGTGAAAAATCACAGTGCAAATAGAAGGTGAGATGGCAAAAGTGTATCAAAAGCACAAAACAGGATAAACGTTCTTTGTGTAATCTGCATATATATATTTTTAGCTATAGATGTATCTGTTTCATTATGCCTATATTCCTTAGAGTATTATTATACTTTTTGCAATCTCCTTTTAAAATTATTAAATAGATACGGTAAATTAAATCCTGAATAAATGTATTAGGCCTGAGGCTAGTCAGAGGAAAGTATTACTTTTTAAAGCAAATGTTGGTATAGCTTGCTTTCCTTCCCCTAACACTTTTGTACTTTCCATGTTTAAAACATACTGATAGCTCCCAGGACATGATACTGGAATGTAAGTCCTGGAGCATCTGGAACAAGCATTAATTCATTTTACTGATCAAAAAGGGAGATACAGGGAAGCATCCTAAATGAAAAATGAAAAAATGAGGGCAATCAGGACAGGAGAGGCCACAGCCATATGTTAAAATGGACATTGCTGTCATATTAAAGCTCTGTAGGGACATGAATTACTGATGAATTGGAGATGGGATGCCAGTAAGTACCTTTTATCCACCACTATAAGGGACTAAAATAAAATGTTTGCAGAGAAACAAGCCAGTTAAGGATGGAGTCTGGCTCTTGGTATGTGGATTAGCATATTTGACAAACAGCAATTCTAATTTATTCCATCTGGTTTTAGGCAACGCAACATGCCAGGACAGCCCTGGCCCTTCCTGGCCCTGCCTTTGGGGTCTATATGCTGTTTATGGGATGATGTAAAGCGAAACCTCCCTCTACTGCTGCTCTGAACTTGGAAACTGGCCCTCATGGAGGGCAGCAGTAGATCAGTAGGGTTTTCTGTCTTACACACAGGTTTTAATTCAAATGCAAATAAAATCCTGCTGAAGAGTGATTTAACTTTTCATCCTCCTTTCCCCCACTTTTGGATCTCAGTGTCAAGTGAACATCTGATCTGCAGTCATCATATCTGAACAGCAACCAACATATGTTGCAAGGGGTCAACCAAGGGTTGTGCAGCTCCAGCCCCATGCATGCTGATTCCTGTTCTGCACGTCTCCAGCACAGCACGAAACAACAGCCTGGCTCTTCTATGCTTCCAGGAACCAATCCCCTAGAAGACAAATGCTGAGGAGGTAGCCTGTGTTATCTTTGCAGTGTCTTGACCCCCTTGGGGTTGTCAGGTTTACTAAAGCCAAAAGTCTTAGATGTTCCTTCTAGTTTGAATATCCTCCTCCCGTATCGCATTTTTTTCAAAATGCCTCTTATTTCTTCTGCAGCTATAAAGGTGAACCCTGCAGCTCTGCCAAACAATATCCCATCTTCTTTCTTTGCGTTTTTGCTCGTCTTTTTCCTTTCGTTACCATGCCAGACTCAGCAGTTCAGGAACCCATCCTGTTTGCTAATCTCTACCAGCACTGTGCAGCCTTCCACGTGTCCGTGCCTGACCAGTTCTTTGCTTCACAAAGACTGTCTTGTATGCCACATTCTTTCTTGGTCTGGGGTAAGGAGTTGCCATAGGAGATTGAAACCATGTGGTGATTGGATAGGTACTTGTTTTCCGTTTGAAGGATTTAGGGTCTTTCATCCCTTTGATTTTTCCCATCATCTTCAGATTTCCAATCGTGCCAAACAGCCACGTGGGAATCCCACACACCACGTGCTTCCAACAGTGCATTTAATTTCTGTACATTTCATTTCCTGTGCAGAGCAGGCTTTTGACTGTTGCCAAGTTCATTATGCCTGCAGACATACCTTGACAGCAGAAGCAACTTTGGCTACTGATGGTATGTTTGACTAATAAAAAAATGGTACAAAGACCTTGAGTTTTAGGAGCACACAGGCGAAGGCTTCAGTGCTAAAGATCAAACCTTTCCACTCTCAGCAAGGCTTTTGCTGTGTGACTGGAAAATTCAAGATGAATCACACACCAAGACATAATTTTGTTAGTCACTCACACTAACCAGAAAACAGGTTAGGGTGATGAGTACAGCATCAGCTTTTTTAAGGTCCAGTAAAGACTGGGAAATGCTGAAAACAGCAATAGGCAGTAATTTGTAGACCAAGTCAGTGCATTTAAGTGGCTGTGGAGGGAAACTAGCTGCTTATCTTGATGCAAATGGATTGTTCTTCACAATTAGGTGCTTTTGTTAGAGCATCACATTACAGTATGTTACTATTCCAGCCTCAAGGGCATGCACATATTCTGATGTGGCCAATTTGGCTGACAAAGTATTAGGAGGTTGCCAATTTCATATAAACCCATTTGCTAAGAAACAGAAAGTTGAATGGTCTCAAATTCATGGTGGTTTTTTTGTTCGTTTGTTTGTCTTTTTTTTTCCCCTGGATCTCCAGGATTTAGGCACTGCTTCTAACTTCACCGACCTCTCTGTACCACCCTCCCACCCCCAGCCCTTTTTAAAAATAAAAATGAAATGTAACTTTATTTTCCGGTCCCATAAACTTACCAGAAGCTCTTCAGTTTTGGGGAACTGACCATTCAGCTGATCACTGAAATTACGAGGAATTTTAAAATGCCACAATTTTCCTAGCCATTACGTCATTATGTGGCCACATCATTCCTTTTCCTTACTGGCTTCAAGGGAACTATTCTGGATTAGGTTGAAATGTTCTCATGGGTTGGAACGACTCTAGTTTTTCAGACAGAAAAGGTTACTACCTAACTAGCAAAATAAAGATGCAAACAAGCAATTAGTAACAATACAGCTCCGTGGAAAGTAAACGTAGTGGTTTCAATCTGAAAGCAGGATTGAATGGCCTTTTTACAATATCCTTTTTCTCTAAAATAAAGAAGCTTAAGAAATTACATACTGAAGTACGTTAGAAGACAAGAGATCGGGTTGCAAAATTAAGAAATCAAAGGCAGGAAATGCCAGAAGGAAGCTTTCCTATCCAGCCTCCCTTCTGCCCCCTTGTGTGACCAGAGTGGCTCTTTAATTACAGCCGCATTTTCCCCTTCGATCGAGCCCACGCTGAGCGGTGCCGGCCCCGCTCTCTCGCCGCGCTGCAGGAAAGCTCCGGGCACGGCCCAGCAGGCGCTCAGCTGGACACGCTGCAGCTACAGATTCCGAGCGACAGCTCGGGCCCCTCGTGTGGAGAGCTGCGGCAGAGCACAACCAGCGATCAGGCTGGCTTAGATAACAGCTAAATTAATGCCCGATAGCCTTGTCAGTGCCCCATTAAATTAGATCGCTCTGTCGTGAGTCAGAACGAACTAATTTTCCTGCTGTGCTCGCTGCCTGTGACAGCCCTTGGGCTACTTTAATCTTCAAACACCAGTGGTCAAGAGCTGATTTATTTTTTTCTCATGAAATTGATGAAGTAGGTTGCTCGCATTTCTTCCTGAGCTTCTCAAGCTTCCCCAGACAAATCAAAACTGGCTGCAGAAAGGAAATTGTTTCTGTCTTTGCATAGCTCATCTCCTGATGTGCAAGGACAGAGGCTGAAATCCAGAGCAGAATGTCACCTTTGGGAGCATTATCCCTTGTACCTCTTTCTCTCAGCAGAACATTGAAGTAATGCCAATGTTTTTTCTTAATAACAACAAAAAACTATAAGACTATGAAGATACAGAATTGGACAGCAGGGGAATAAACGCTCTCCCTGCTGCAGACACACACTCTTGACACTTCTTTCAAGTCCAGCTCTGTGATGGAGCAATCCACAAGTAAGGATGGGAGAAGCAAAAGGGGTTAAACGAGAAACCACTCTCAAACCACTTCAGTGAAGCCCTGGAACAGTCCCTCAGGGAATGGAAATGAACAAACCAGCTGCAGGATTCACTACACAACCCAGACTTCTGCCTCACCCTAGCCAACTTCTAGAACAACTATTAAAAACATCCTAGCCCTTCTTGCCTCAAGAAGTACTTTTTACTGCTTAGGCTGCTCTCCACCATTGAGACATAAACTGCACCGATGGTGAAAGTCAGGTTAGGTCCTGTGTGTGGACTTGGGTGCACTGTCAACTCCCAAGAAACCCTTGGGATAAAGCACAAATTATATTCAAAGGGCAGTGGACAAGCAAACTGGCTGGAAAG